CTCCTGGGGGCCCCCTCCCCTTCTCTTCATCTACCCTTCCCTGTGAGCAGGACACTGTATGTATGCTCTGTGTCCGCAGACGGTTCCGACCACCGGTCCTGCTGCGCGAACTGGGGCGTGCCGAGACGGTGCCTGGACTGGTGCCGCGGGGAACCCCTGCTCAACGGCAAGCTGTGTGTGCTGTCCTACACCAAGCAGATCATGAACTGCTTCCACGAGAACAGAGGTAAAACGCGACCTTGGCTGGGTCACACCCTACGGTCTAAACCTCTCAGTCCGTGCTCACGCTCACGCTCTCTGTGTAGACAAGCTGCCCGGACCGCCGCAGAACGTCCGCGTCGAGCCCATCGACTCCCAGTCCGTGCGCGTCAAGTGGGACCCGCCCGTCAAGAACCCCCACACCGTGCAGGTGTACAGGGTGTTCTACCGGCAGATCGGCAGCAAGCCCCTCAAGAACGATACGAACGGCACGTCTGTCATCCTGGTTGGTCTAAAAGAGAACGCCGAGTACGAGTGTGTGGTGAAAGCGGGCAACCACATGGGCACCTCCACACTCACCGAGCCCATCGTGTTCAGCACCTCCACCGACAAGTACATCACGTCGTCGACTAGCATCGGTAAGCCATCGCCGTGGGTGAACCACCTTGGAAAATACACTTTCCTTGAACTCTATCTCCATGTTCAAGGGGACGACTCCTCGCACGTCGGTGTCGCCGTGGGCGTGGTCATGGCCCTGCTCATCGTGCTGGCGGTGGTCGCGGGGGCCGTGTGGTTCCTGCGTTCCAGACACCTCCTGGGCCGCAAGCACCCCGGGGGTGTTGCCTTCGAGAACCCATCGTACCTGCGCGAGGTCAACATGGACCACATTCAGGTGAGTTATGGGTGATGTTCAGTTCAGCGCTGGCTGGCGCCCGTAACGTCGCCGGGTGGGCCGCTACCTCTACGCGGCTGTTATGCGGTTGGCCTACCCAGCGCGTTGCAGGCGCTTTCAGTCGCGACCCTAAACATGGGACACGTCAGAATCATTCACTCTCCCTGACGCGGCTCACTCACGCTCCTGTGGGGGTGGTCCACTCTGCAACCGGCACCCTGAAGACGGTCGCAATGGCATGCCGCTTGGACAATCGATCACACTTGTAATCTCATTCCAGGTACCCCAGGGTCAGCCTGGCGAGAACCCTCTTGCGACGGTGCTGAACGGGGCCGCGAACGGCAGCGCCCTTTCGACGCTGTCCGGGGCCGCGAACGGCAACGGCCTGGCGGGGGCGTCGGCGGGGCACGGCGCGGGCTGGAAGCACGAGAGCCTCCACGTGCCCGCCCAGCAGCAGGAGGTGGCACCCTCTCTGTACGAAGAGCTCAAGCTCGGCCAGGACGGCGCGGGATTCAAAAAGCTAAAGCCCTAGTATCAGGTGGACCTCTTGGAGTCACCTATGTAGGCCACCCGCTGCGGTCCTACGGCGATAGTGCCCCAAGTGCTCCAAGCTAGCGCACTTCGGTGACCGTCGTGCTGCTCCGACAACCCAGTTTGTGTTATTTGGACTTCTCATCCTTCTTGCCTCAGGTTCATTTGTTGTGACATTGGATTGACCTGCAGTCGTTTTCCGGCCTGAGTCCCTTTTAATGACTTATGTTTTTGTCGTTGGTAAATTTAGACTTTATTTACATCAAGGTGAAGTTATTGATTTTCAGTGTGATATAACTTTTAAGGTGACCCCATCTATTAATAATAGGGTCATGTATCATTGGGCCTTTTGGGAGTATCATGTAGTGTGTTGTATATTTCTATGAAGCCCCGTGGGACTTAATGTTACTCGAGATTAATTCATTGTGATCATCGAGCTGTGTTGAGTGCCTATAATATAGTAAGGAATTCCCGTACGCATGTGTGTATGAATGAAAGTATGATATGTATGTATGTAAATATTGATTGACTGGACAATACGTATGACGTAGTAGTAGAAAAATGTTAATGTTATAATAATTCTATAAGTTTCCTTTTTTTTTATTGTTGGGAAAGCCTTATCTAATGAAGTTACTGTAATATACATAAATCATCTACGTAAAATGTTAGGGCATTATTTGTTTGACACTGTTTTTCTGTATGTAAAAGAAGAAGGTGCTTTCCAGTTAAGTAGTGATTCTCTTTAGAATGACTTTTGGATAACATTATTCAAAACACATAATTTTGTTACAATTTTTGGACAAAGTTTATTGTGGAGCGGCGTGGGAGATTTTAAAGTAAATGAAAAGATGAAGTTAGTTAGATGCATCTTCTTGAAAACAGTTTTTAAGTTTTAGCCTGCCCTTCTGCATTGTAAAAGCTATAAAGTGGGCCTATTTGTTTGAAGCATCAGGGTGAAAGCTGGAGAAGCAAGGTAGGAGTACTAGTCTTTTTTAAGTTTAGTATCTACAGTAAGGTAAGACGTTAGTTGAATAAAAGCAATGCTTCGGCAGTTAAAGACTTTGACCAGCTCTTTTGAGAATACAAAGAAACATTCACTGATACTTCATATTAATAAATTGTTTTGTTATCTTTTCTGATTTTAAATTGCAGCCCATTGTGAAAATATTTTTGAGCTATAGTGTACCAAAATGGTTTTATAGTAAAGTGGTCACAATTTTGAAGATTACTGTTTTGGTATAGCATTTATACAGGGTGATCATTACTCAGTTAGAAAAAAGATGAAAGACAAATGCAAGTTTAAGCTTTGTAAATACACACTCTGAAAAAATGCTCAGTTTTCTTTGAGTGGTGGTTTGCTTTTTAAGAAACAGATTGAGGCTATATGTGAAAGTGTGTGCGTATGTTTAGCAGCAAGATGAGATCGTAAGAAATGCATTTCAGATCATGGCTAATTATACCGAGAAAAAATTAGAGTATGTATGTAATGGTACAATGTGAGTGTGGATATGGAAATGTATAATATTTGTATGACAGTAATTGGCCCACATCAGGAAAAATTATCTAGTTCAAAATAGATAAGATGAAAGATAAGTGTGATTTAATTTTAGGAAATGTCAGCGGAGCATATGATTCTATGCTATGAAGCAGAGTTTTAGAAATTCTGCGTTAGTTCTGGAAAAAGATGAGTACTCTCAAGGGAGTGTGCATACTTCATATGAATGATTGTATGAAAATTATCATAGATAGCATGATATGCTTTTTCATTTCATAATTTCATGGTTCATGAGTTTGAGAAGATTTGGTACAGAAGAACCATGTAAATAATAATCAGTATCTATGTGAATCAGTCACAACCATATCAATTTTTCTAAAGAGGAGGTTTTGTTGCTGTATATAAGTAAGCTTGATTAATTTTCATGTGTTGCTCTTAGAAAGTTGTGACAAACCATAAAAAGAAAATGTGAAGCCGTCCAGTTGAATTAGAGTTAGTTGGGACCAATTCACAAAGTGAAGTGAATTCTGTTGAGAAGAGGATTAATAATTTTTGGTATTTTTGACAAGTGAAAATACTGTCATTGTTTTTCCTGCTCTTTCCCTGCTTCATTTTTATTGTTGTAAGTTTTATTTCAGACATATCATAAAATAGAATTGTAATGTTATCAAGAGATGCTATCATGTTCTATCATGTACATACCAAATGGTGAGCTGTGGACAGTGTACCACAGTACTACTTGCCTCACTCATGTTCCTGAACTCTCATCCAGAGCAAAAATTGCCTTTTTTTCAGTAAAGCCCACTTAAAGTTTTGCTTAATTTTTGAGTGATGTACATAAGCATGGTTTCATTTCAAATGATTACATGCAAATACTGTATGTAATTTTATTTTTGAACTGTACACTTAATTTTGGCTCTGAACTAGGTTTTGTGAAAGTCTTTTAGTTAGTAATACTAATGCTAACATTGCCAATATGTTAAAGTCTAGTCCAGTCTGATGCATTTGGTCCACTCATATGGACTAAAGCAAACATTCTTTTCTCTGGGTTAATCTTCCAGCCTTCACCCTACAAAGGAAAGTTGATGTTGTAACAGCTTTTGTTTGAGCTCAAGTTTAGTGTTAGTGTGTCTTTGATAGCAATGTCACTCATTTACCAAGAGAGTTGCATTCCCCTCAAAACGTGCAACCATTCATAGGCATGTTTGTATGGGCTGCTGAGGAACCATAACGTAAGTTAACTCTAATTGTGTATGAGGCACCAGGTCACATCGTAAACACTCATTTCTACACGAAATAAGAAATAAAACTGTTTGGGAAGGAATGTCATTAAAGGAAAAGAGTTGACTGAACATTTAAATTGAACAGTGTATAATCTTTGGGTCATAATCTCATAGAAAGGAAAAAATGGTTCAAATAAAACTATTTCTGCATCAAAACTTTGATTTATTTCTCAAAAATATCAAATATTTTTATAATTGGTCTTTTTTTCTCCCCCCTACCAAAACTAGTATAGGGAAATGTCTTCAGGCTCTGCTTTACAGTAAATGTCTTCACCATTTCAACTCAACCGGGTACTTCCCAGTAAGGCAGGCCGTGCAATAACCCGAGTCCTCCTCTTTCGTTTTGGCTCCATGCCGTACAGCCTGAACAAGGCCCTCCACCGAGAGGTAGGCCAAGCTGTCAGCACCTGAGGGGCGAGGAAGGCGCATCAGAGACAAGGGTGGCACACACAGGACACATGACGAGACAGATAGCAAGCAGCAATGTGGAGACTTTCAGGCGCCGACCCATAGTCACGTCTACCTTTAGACGAAAGCGCCTGATGTGTAAGTACTTGAGCGTTGCTCTCTACACTTACCCACGTGCGCGGCCAGCCGCTCAGAGTCGAGGCGGTTGGCCACGAGCTCCTCGCGGGTAGGGATGTTGATGCCCATGTAGCAAGGGTACTTGAGCGGCGGCGACGCGATCCGGATGTGCACCTCCCGGGCGCCCGCATCGCGCAGCAGCTTGATGATGGGGCCCACCGTGTTGCCGCGCACGATCGAGTCGTCGATGAGGACGAGGCGCTTGCCAGCCACCTCCTCGGACAGCGCGCCGAACTTCATGGCCACGCCCAGCTTGCGCAGCCGCGTGTTGGGCTGGATGAAGGTGCGGCCGACGTAGCGGTTCTTGCACAGGACTTCCCTGAACGGCAGCCCGGACTGGACAGAGTTTGGCGCTGTAGTGCTACACTTTGGACAGCCGCAGTATCAAAATTAACTTTCTCGGCGGCCGCGGCCGCGACCTTCTCACTCACCTCTCTGGCGAATCCAAAGGCCGCCGCCGTGCCAGACTCGGGGACCGACGACACCACGTCCGCCTCGACGGGGGACTCGCGCCACAGCATCCGGCCGCTCTCCTTGCGAACAGAGTACACCGTCTGGCCTGCGGGCGGAGCGGAAGGAGTGGCAGGAAGCCGATTTGGGCAGGGGGGGGGGAGGGTGATAATCCGACAACGAGGAAATAAATACCTTCGTAAACCGTGTCGGGACGCGAGAAGTAGACAAACTCGAAGATACAGAACGCGGGCAGCTGTCCGGCGGGCCTCTCCACGGTGGCCAGGGACTTGACGCCGTCCCGGCTCAGCTCCACGATCTCGCCGGGGAGCACTTCGCGCACGTAGCGCGCCCCGATGGACTGGAAGCTGCACGACTCTGAGGAGATGACCCACGCCTCGGCGTCCGCGTCTGGGCACGTGAGGGGGTCGGAGCCTGCCCGCGAAAGAGTCACGTTTAGGGTCATGGTGCCGTGTAGTCGTGACGTTCGGTGACCTCGTCGGCACACTCTCTACTCACCCTCCGGGATGACGCGGCCCAGACACAGCGGCCGGTTGCCGTACAGGTCTCGCACGCCGTAGATGCGGTCGTTGTCCATGATGAGCAGCGAGTAGGCGAGCGGGGTGAGCGCCATGAGGTGCCGGATGCGCGCGGGCCAGTCCGGCCGGCAGCCCTTCCCGCCGGGCGGGTCCAGGCACAGGGTCTGGGTGATCAGCTCGCTGTCAGAGTGCGTCGACAGGCCCACCCCGCGGTCGTACACCTGCAAAGCGATAGACACGTTGTTGCAGCGCGACCTCCATGCTCGCAGATTCGACGATGACGACTCTTACGGCGTTATCCACGCACCTGGCTACGAAGGTCGCCAGCGTTGACGAGCTCGCCGTTGTGCGCGAGTGACAGGGGTCCGTACGCCGTGTGCACGAGGAACGGCTGGCAGTTGACGAGCGAGGACGACGCCGCCGTCGAGTACCTGGTGTGGCCGATGCCCAGGTTCCCTGCAAAGGGTGGCAAATATACTCGTGACAATTATTCCGAGCGTGTCTCTGTCTACGGGGAGGTCGGGGATGTATAGGACTCTAGTAGGAGGGGCCGACCCGCTGGCCACCAGCTCTGTTACCCTCTGGATCCACCTGCATATGGGAAAAACGGACCCACCGTGTCAGACGGAATACCGCCGCCCTTCTAGCCTTCCCCGTAGGGACTTCCCTGAAAGTGAACCAAGTACGGTACAGGCGCGGTTGTAGGGGTTTTAGGCCCTACAGACACAGGCCGGAGGAGGGGGGTGTCTGTAGGTTGCCTACATAACAGTGAATCGCCTACCCCACAGGCGGCTTCCCAGGGCCGAATGGGGGACGGGTGTCACCCCCCCCCCCCCAATAAAACCACGCCTAGAGTGCTGTACGGCGCTGTACGCACCTCGAAGCTTCTCCATCGCGTCGTTGTTGAAGATGGTGGAGATGAGGCCCATGCCCTTGTGTACATTGAAGTTCTGACGCCCGCTGCCGTCGCTGGTCGCGATCCCAGCGCTCTCCTGACCCCTGACAAGGGCGACAGTAAGTGAAGACGTCAACTCTATTAGGTCAACATGTCAACGCCGACGTGAACAACATCCATGCGATCCATGCTCGAAAGGGCGCGCCACTCTACCTGTGCTGGAGGGCGATGAGGCCGAGGCAGACGACCTGGGCGACGTCCATCTGCGTGGGCCACTCGCCCGTCGCCACGCAGCCGAACAGGCCGCACTCGTGCGTCAGCCCGGTGGCCCCCGCGCCCGCGGAGGCGACCTCTTGGTCCAGCTCGGGCGGGAGGACTGCGCCGGCGCCCCGCTTCCCGTACTCAGAGGGCTGCTCCATGCCGGAGGTGAAGGTCCTGCGGAGGAAATGTAAAGTCGGCTAGAGGCGGGCAGTGCCAACATTCACTATCTACCGGGCGCGCCCCTGTCCAGTCGAGTTACGCAACTGATCCCTGCGACTAGCGAGTTTGCCTCACCTGCCGAGGAAAATTGCGCTTTTTATGTAACGGGCTGAGAAATGGGTTGCCTACGCAACAGGGGTCAGCCGAGATTTTAGAATATCGATAATTTGTTATTAGCGACCATCATTAACTTTGAGTGTAAAGAGACAA